CACTGGCACAACTGTTTGAGCACTTGTGGCACTCAGGACAGGTCCCAGAGAACTGAAAAAGGGCTAATGTGGTCCCTATTTTCAAGAAGGGGAGGAAGGAGGACCCGGATAATTATAGGCCGGTTAGGCTCACCTTTATTCTTGGCAAGACTTTAGAAAAAATCATTAAGGACCACAGTTGTGGAAAGCCAGCAGGTAAAACAATGTTAAGGGGCAACCAGCATGGGTTTATAGCATGCAGATCCTGCCTGAGTAACCTGGTCTCTTTTTATGACCAGGTCACAAAGTGCTTAGATGCAGGAGTAGAGGTAGACGTTATTTACTTGGATTTTAAAAAGGCTTTTGACAGTGTCGCACCCAATTCTTACAAGTAAACTAAGTAGCTGTGACATGGATTTTTTCACGGTCAGGTGGGCGGAAAACTGGCTTATGGAATGAACACAGAGAGCGGTGGTGGATGGGTTGGTTTCTCCCTGGAGATATGGGCAGTGGTGTCCCCCCAAGGCTCTGTCCTTGGGCCAGTACTGTTCAATATCTTCATCAGTGATTTGGACGAGGGTGTAGAAAGCACTTTGTCCAAATTCACAGATGACGCCAAACTATGGGGTTTGTGGGCGGAAAACTGGCTTATGGAATGAACACAGAGAGCGGTGGTGGATGGGTTGGTTTCTCCCTGGAGATATGGGCAGTGGTGTCCCCCCAAGGCTCTGTCCTTGGGCCAGTACTGTTCAATATCTTCATCAGTGATTTGGACGAGGGTGTAGAAAGCACTTTGTCCAAATTCACAGATGACGCCAAACTATGGGGTTTAGTAACCACACTAGAGAGTAGGGAGCGAATTCACGTGGATTTGGATAGACTGAGGAAGTGGGTGGATCAGAATCAGATGCAAATTAACAAAGATAAGTGCAAAGTGCTGCACCTGGGGTGAAGGAATCTCCAATACACCTATAGACTGGGAAGTACTATTCTAAGTAGCACAGCAGCAGAAAGGCATCTTGGAGTCATAGTCAATGCAAAGGAGAATGAGTTGCCAATGTGACAAGGTAATAAGTAAGGCTAACCACACTCTTCCCTGCATTAGTAGGTGCATCACAAGCAGGTCTAGGGAGGCGACAGTTCCTCTCTATGTGGCACTGGTGAGGCTGCAGCTGGAGTACTGCATCCAGTTTTGGGCACCACGCTTCAAAACAGATGTGGATAACCTGGAAAGTGTTTAGAGGAGGGCTACAGGTATGGCTGAGGGCCTGCACGTAAGATCCTATGAAGGCAGATTGAGGGACCTGAATCTCTTCAGCCTCTGCAAAAGGAGGTTGAGAGGTGATCTTGTGGCCGGCTACAAACTCATCGGGAGGTCAGCAGAGAATAGGGGATACTCTGTTTACCAGGGCGCCCCCTCGGGGTTACTAGAAACAATGGCCATTAACTGAAGGAGAGCATATTTAGATTGGACATCAGGAATATATTATTTACAGTGAGGATTGCCAAAATATGGAAAGGGCTTCCAAAGGAAGTGGTGCTTTCCCCTACCTTGGAGGTGTTCAAAAGATTAGACAAACACCTGGCTCTGGTTACTTGACCCCAGTGCTCTTTCCTGCCCAGAGCAGGGGGTCAGACTCGATGATCTAATAGGTCCCTTCTGACCCTAGAAATCTATTAAATCTATGTTTAAAACTGTAGTTATTGCTTCCATGCCAAACAGTAGTGAGCTGCAACTGGAGTAGTGAGCTACCAGTCAGCAGTGGGGATGTACAAATTAAAGGAGCCATAGTGTGCCCCACACTATGGCATTGAATTCAGTAGGGCCTTATGCAGGGAGCAGTACATAGGAAAATTTCTTTCAACATCTGACAGAAAAATTACTCATCAGAAAAAGTTATGGAATGCTATTACATCTATGCTTCAAGTAGGATAAATACAGAAAGTCAAAAGCCCGAGAGAGAATTGATCACAGGGTTCTCTGAGCTGTGTAGTGTGGAGTGTTAATGAACAGGGCTCATGTTCATTCTTTTGCTGAGGAAGACAAACAGATACATGCACTGGCCAAGACCAGAAGGTACAGGGTGAGCTCACATGTCTCTCAATGTACCAGGGTTTTTGGTTGTAGCCGTGTTGGTCTAAGGACATAGGCAGGCAAGGTTCTTTGGGCAGATGTGATATCTTTTATTAGACCAACTGAGTAGTTGGAAAAAAGCTCTTTGCAAGCTTTCAGGCACAATCACCCTTCTTCAGGCATAGAGAGTCTCTGCTATTCTGAGAGTCCAAGGACAGAAGAGACTCAGAACAGCAGAGACTCCCTATGCCTGAAGAAGGATGATTGCGACAGAAGGTTTGCAAAGAACTTTTTTCCAACTACTCAGTTGATCTAATGAAAGATATCATATCTACCAAAAGAACCTGCCTCCCAATGTACCAGACATTACTAAGGGCACCCAAGCTCAGCCATCCTTCATTGGCTGTCCAACACATGCCCCCAACCCCCTGCTGTCCCCTCCACATGGGGGGAAACAGAACCCCCTTTCCTGGCCCCTCAAGCTGGGGTCTGCCCAGATGGGGGGAGGCCCTGCATCATGGGGGAGGGGCTCCCCATCCCTGCCCAGTTGCACAGCCCTGCCCCCTGTAAGTCTCTGTCTCTGATCCACAGCAGGGAGAAGAGAACAAAGTCTCCCAACCGGTCTCAGCCCCGCGACCTGGGGCTGGAGTCTGCCCAGCAGGGGGGAGCCCTATGCTTTGGGACGGGTTCCCCTACCCGGCAGCAGGCATAGGAGTGCTTTATAGAGGCAAGGATCAGGTCCCACTGCCCGGCATAGGCCTCTTGGTGCATCCCAATGGAGCTCAGCACCAGTAGCAGACCCCAGCTCAGAGAGGGCTAAGACAGGGGTGGGGGAAACCACCTGGGCAGACCCCAGCTCTGGGGAGCCAAAACTAGAGCTCCTCCTGCCCCCTACAGGTCAGAGGCAGAGACTTGCAGGGAGCAGGGCTGTGCAGCCAGCCCTGCTGGTGGGGAGGTAGGAGGGGAGAACCCCCAGCGGAGTCGGCCCCCCAGCGGGGCAGACCCCAGCTCAGGGGGAGCCTAGGGCTGTGGTGGGGGGCTCCATTCCCCTGCCTCTCCCAGCTGGGCTGTTTAACTGGTGGCCACATGCCACAGTTGTGACTCCCCAGTCACTTTGGCTGCAAAAGCAGCCAGAGTCTCTGGACTTCCCCTCGCTCCTTCAGCTTCAGTGTTCTGTGACTACCCAAGAAGCAGTGCAGCATGGCACAGCATGGCGCAGGGTGCTCAGGGTGAGACCAGGGCTGGCACAGTGCAGCAATGGGAATGAGTGGAGATGTCAATGTGGCAGACAGCTCAGGGGCCTGTGTACCCCACTGGTGCAGCCTGAAGGGCATGCAGCCACTTCAAAGTTGGAGAGCTCAGAGCTACCTGATAAATTACAAGCTAAGCAAGTGCCTTTGCAATTGGTCCCTGTGGCCTACCAGAGAGGACTATGACCAACAAAGCTATACTGCCAACGTTAAGTGTCTCTCTCTATATCTAATTGGTTCCATTTTATAATAAACAAGATTATTGAGATGTCACTCTCTCTGTTTTGTCAACAAGTTCTGATCATTGCTGCTGTTTTTCTTCATTGTTTGCAAATGCCTCAAATCAAATGGAACGAACATAAAAAGGCGGATGCCTTTAGAATTGATAGGAAAATGCCCTTTCACTGAGTTGAAAAAGTCTTGTTTAGAAATTTGGGCTCTATAAACTTTGACTGCATTCAAGGCAAGAGTACATAGGAACTCTTGGATTCTTAGAGGGTCTGCTTCAGGTTTAGAGACTCTGAAAGATCCAGTAGTCAACTGATGGATCCATCCTAAGGCTAGAGGACTTGGAGGTTTGCAGTGTTCAGGGAAATTGATGTTCTTGTGGGTTTCACTAAGAGCTGTGAGGTCTTGGAACTCTCTTATTTGCTGGAAATTTCAAAAAAGTTTGTTTCAAATCAAATACACAATAAAAGAAAATGACATTTTCTGCAAACTGGAAACCAGGCTTTATTTTTTTTTCTGACAAAATATGATCCAGGCATAAGAACTCTTAAACTAGTAGTAATACAATATACTTCTTATCAGACCAAATTTAGGAGACAACTGGCCTTTTAAATAGGACCAAACTACCAGTAGATGGTGTAACTTGGTAAAAATGATGAAAAACTCATGCCCCCAGAAGTAAACATTTAAGACAAACACAATGACCTAAATGGATTATTACTTTGAAGTTGACTAAAAGTAGGAAAATACAGCCAGCCAGCTGTCCCTAAATGCAACGAAGAACTTTGTTCCCTGATGTGAAAAATATAGAAAACAAATTAAACCATTCCCATTTCTGTTTTTAATTTGTATGGTTTTCAAATACTGCCCACCCCCTAAAAAAACTAAACAAAAAGCAACCCCCACAATATACCTCTAAAGTCTGGCCTATGCTATAAATTTTTGCTAGTATAGCAATGTTATGTGTGTGATACGTGTGAGTTTCCTAGTCTACCAAGAGCCCTAGGGCAAACAGGCATAAGACTCCTCTTACCAACACAGCTAATTTCAGTTGGGGAAAAAGAGATGCTGTCAAAAGCACTTTTTTGCCAGTGTAAACTGCATTTCCTCTATAGAGGCAAACTTTCTGTTTGGCCTTGACTAAAGGAAGAAGTATAACTACAGCCTCCTTCTAAAAGAATGAAGTACATCTCAATGACTTCTTTTAATCAAGTTGTATGCAAATCTCAGCCAGCAAAAGAACCAGAAGGAAGGGACTAATCAGAAAAGACGGACAACGCAAATGTTTACTGCAACCATTTGCTAGTTTTGCCATTATGACATTTATTTTGCCAACGTCACCAACCTTTTGCGTAACATTGCTGCATACCATATTTCATCACAGAATGAACATAATTTCATTACAGGTATCTGCTCTGTTACAATTGAAAAACAACCTTTAGGATCATATCAGTTCGAAAAGTACTTACGTTTAGCAAATCCATCCCCTGGATAAATATACCTATTGTATACATCCATGATATATACCCTTTGATCATCCATAAAGTCCCTTTCATGGCCATTCCCCTAAGGAGAAATGACAGTTGGTTAATTCTAGCAAATCCATGAAGAATTAAAAAACCTGTGAGCATTAAGGAAATAAAGATTACAAAGATGCAGTGCTTAAAGTTCCATACACATTCACTTACTGGTTTCCTTAAAGGTTTTTCTCTTATATCAGTTTCATATTCAGCTTTGTTAAATCAGCATCATAATAGGCATTTGAAGATTCAGAAGTATTACAGTGCCCCTTGTAAAAACTGGGTATTGTTCTTTAGCTTTCTTACTGAATCATTCAGTGTCACAATGAAAATCTGTGACCAAGAACAGAAAATCAGATCTCCCAACTTCTAGCTCTGTAATTGAACCAACATCATTTTATATTCCAGAAATTTGGCCACTATTCAGAGGAGCTTAACCAGGATCAGAGGTTTTTTTGATAACCAAAAAAATGTAAATTGATTTTCAGGAAAGGTCACAGGGGAAAAGATTCATGTAATGTAACAACACATTGTATCATTGTATTTTATCACTATAAAGATAATAATTTCTACTGAAATATTAGACTAGGGAATAAGGAAGGATGGGGAGGGGGGAATCATATCATTTTGCTTCCTCTCTCCTCTTTGAATTCCAGTATTATATTAGTAGCTAAAATAAATAACACCTTCATTTTTTCTGGACAACAAAGGTAATTAGTCTAACAATACAGACTGAGCAGTTTGTAGAAGTCCATGTGCTTCCACCTCTTAGATCTTTATTAGGTAGAATTTTGCTGAAAATCCTAGTACCAAATATGAGATTTGCTCTTGGTATATATAGTAAATCACTTCTCCAGTAGAAGGTATTCTGTACTCCACAAGCCTGGAGTCAGGCTTTCCATTACAAATACTGAAGGTCAAACTCATCTCCTGTAAAGACAGCTGTGATGATTATGTATGCTGAACTAATTATAACTAGTTTCTTGTTTCTTCTGGGATACCAAACAATACTCAGAAATAGCATGCTGAGGAATTATATGCAAGAAAAAATATGTTTATACTCTGGCCACAAGATGGAGCTACAACTCAGTTTAAATTTGCAACACACTAATTTATTGGGATAGTTTTATCCCTATAGCTAAGAACCATAAAATATAATTAAACACCATGGCTGTTCTGAATAATTAATAATCAAACACAGTAATTGATTATTTGATGAGTTTCTATAACCAGTCATTCAGATCATATCCATTAATTTTTGCTGACTGAATGTTTGAGAAAGTGGTGAAGTACTAGTAAAAACTGGAACTAGTGTAATTAATACATTTTTCTAAAAGATCTACTAGTTACCTATAGAACTGAGCTACAGTCCCTGTAGCTGAAAGAGAAGCCAATATGACCTTGTCTCTGCTATCCTCTTTCCTTTAGTTTGCCAGACAGCTGTAGAGGTATACATCTTTTTCTCTCAGTGACATGAAGAAATCACACACACACACACACACACACACACACACACACACACACACACACACACACTGTATTAATAAATGTAAGATGTGCATGTGTGAGCAAATGTACCTAAGTGTGATTTCTGCATCAAGCTGAGAGAAAACCCTGACCCCTCCCCCAAAATGTCTGAAAAGCAAAGAAAAATTTCATATGCATAAAAGTGTATTTCCTGTATTAAAAGATTAACTTGAATTTCAGTACTATTAACATCAGTTTTAAAAAGTGAAACTTAAAAATAATCCTAATATAATTTGTAGTGGTTGAAATGTTACTGTAGCCATGATGATTAAAACATGTATTAAAGATATAACGGGGAAGTGCTGTTCTGCTTTGTTTTGTGATAGCCTTTATTTAACCAACAGAAGAGTTGGGAAAGAAGTCTGACAAACTTTCAGGCACAAAGTACCATTCTTCAGGTCTTGGAAAGAAACTAAACTAAATAACAGAAAAAAAATTCTACTTCGACATCTTGTATTCCTTAAATGATTGTTTTTATTTATATGAAGTTAAGCAATCACCTTCCTTTTTTGCTATCAGCAAATCATTATTTTATTTCAGTCAATGATTAGCATAAACATTTTTCACAAAGACAGCCCAGAGTCTAAAATGAATGCCTAAAAGCTTAATGGGTTTGGATTTACAGAACATAACCAAACAGAGAGTGTGAGTGTGGAGCACAACATGATCAACGTCAGCACTAAAAAACCTCCTTGAGGATAAGCTAAGCACTGACCAATAGCAGCTTTATAGGGCAAAGCATACGAAAAAAAGATTAGCCTTTCATTGTGCCCTAAAGGTCAAAGTATTCCTGCTACATGAACAGAGGTAAATTCTGGAGTCAAGCACTCTCATTCTGAGTCCCAAGACAAACAAAGGAAGGGACTATTCAAAGATACAACAGCTAATTGGAGTTGTCAAGATAGGTGGTCTCTTAGGGATCTAGACCCAGACTGTATTGATTTTCTCTATGTAGGACTGCAGCTGGAAATGAACAGACAGCCCACTGCAAAAGTCACAGACTAAGTAGCATGTGTTCTGCTTGAGAGCTCTACTTTATATTTTAAATCAAGGAAATTTACATCAGGGCTTACTTAGTCTGCAGAAGAGAAGACTGAAGGGGAATATGATTGTAGCCGTTCGCTACCTGAAGGGTGGTTCCGAAGAGGATGGAGCTGGACTGTTCTCAGTGGTGGCAGATGAGAGAACAAGGAGCAATGGTCTCAAGTTGCACCAAGGGAAGTTTAGGTTGGATATTAAGAAAAACTCTCTCACTTGGAGGGTGGTGAAGCACTGGAATGGGTTACCTAGAGGTGGAATCTCCATCCCTGGAGGTTTTTAAGGCTTGGCTCAACAAAGCCCTGGCTGGAATGATCTAGGTGGAATGGTCCTACTTTGAGTAGGTGGTTGGACTAGATGATCTCCTGAGGTCCCTTCCAACCCTAATTTTCTATGATTTTATGTTAAACTCACCTGCGCCCCCAGGCTGGATACAGACTGCAAGAAGCCCCCCGGGCCAAATCTGGACACAGTAAGAATGGCAGGCTAAGTGGTGGTTCTGGGTTTAATACTTCCCTTCATTGCCAACACATGTGCCCATCTGTGGCTGGAAATTCAGTAGCAGGCCCATCCATAAAGTCCTGCAAGACTAGGTGAGATGCCTCTATGTGCTAAATCTGGCCCACAGACCACATATTTGACATACCACTAAAAAAATCATTCCATGCCCAGAGGATGCAAACAAACAGATTAAGAGTGGTTTGATAAATAAAAATAAAGTAGGGCTTGTGTGTTTTTTGTTCTTATAAATAAGACTTGTTTAGGAATCCATCCAAGACATTCCTTAATCTAGCTTTTCTTTAGCTTACTGAATTCAAAACATCTAACCATGAAATAAGCATGCACAAGAATGCAAGATGATCTTCACTCACAGAACTCCAAGTTCAACTGAGATATAAAATGGAAGGGTTGCCCTTACCAAAGAATGCTTTAAAGGTGATTGTAATAGCACAACATGTCGGAAGATGCAGTGGCAAGAAAAGATTGTTTTCTTTGGCTCTCTCCTCAAAAGTAAGAGTTCTAAGGGATAAATCCACAAAAGAAGGGCAACTTACAGTTGTTCATTTCTACTGGTAGAAAAACAGCCCAGAAGCTGGAGCATATGTGCGTTCCATCCCCGTGGCTCAAGAGCTACACAGGTGAGCTCTCCAGCCAGGGGCACTAGAAGGCTGCTCCCTGGCCCACTAAGTTAAAGCACCACCACTGGTATTTTGAAGCATGGGGATGCTGACACGACACCAAGGCTGCTGTAGTATGCTAATTAGCAAATCAAGTCTGCTCCGACACATGCTAACTAGCAAGTGTGAAAGCAGGCATCCGGCATGTGTATAGGTGCCCTATTTGCCTGTCAGAGCTCTTATCAGGGGAAGTCCCTTAATATCAAAATGTGTGCATGGCTGAAATATGTGTTCCCTTCTCTACCTGGAAACCTAACAGCAAAAGAAACACATCAGTTTGTGAATTTTTTGTCTCTGTAAAGTATAATTGTTGTCTGAAATAATTGTTTTTGGAACCCAGAACACACTGGTTAAAGTGTGGATGTAACCATGAGCTTTACAAAGCCTTCACAGTTGCATTTGCTCAGAGACAAAACCAAAGAATACCAAAAAGGAAGAATTAATATTTCCAAAAAGAAGCAAAAAAATAAAAGCCACTAGAACGGGATACTGTTTCCTATTTTCCAGTTCCTGGTTTATCATGCAGGAAAAGATTTAGATATAATAAGATGATTCCATGCGATTCACCTTGAAAAGAGCTGATCTGAATAAATTATTTCTCTCCAGAAAGTTCATAATAAATAGGGCTGTGTGAAACAGCACCGTTCCGATTTGACTTGCATTTCAAGGGAACAGCGTTTCATTTCAAATTTCGTTTTGATTTGAAACTGCTGTTCCGTTTCATTTTGTCAAAACAGTTTTGCTGTTTCGACGCTGTTTCAATGTTTTGCCCATAGGCTATAATGGGGAAACTCGAAACAGCCTACAACTGTTTCATTTCTGGCTTGATTTAGATGAAACTTGCAGGAAGCCTGCCACATTTCAAGGAGATAGGTGGAGGGGTTTGGGGGAAATTGCACCTCAATTTGAGGAAAAGCGAAACTCATGACATGGGTGACACTGTGTGTGTTAAGGTGCAGCATGGTGAAAACTGCAGAGGTGGTGGCCCCTGCTGAGGCCATGAAGACTGCCAGCTTTTAAGGAGATAGGTGCAAGGGGCTTCTGGGTTCTGGGTGCTGACAGGCAAAACTCGTGACATGGGCGATTGTGGGACTGTGTCCGTCTTGGGGCACAGGGGGGTGAAAACTGCAGGCCTGTCAGCTGTCAAGGAGATAGGTGCAGGGGAGTCTGGGTTCTGGGGCCCTGCACCTCTGTCTGCTGAGAGACAAAACTCGTGACATGGGTGGGTGACATTGTGTGTGTGTTAAGGTGCACCCTCACTCAACTGACACCGAGGCAGAAAGCAGGGAAGTTCAAACAATGCTGCCTTTTATGCAGTTTTTCCATCCCTCCCCCAGAGCACTGGGATTGGAAGGGACCTCAGGGAAGGATCACAGTCAATAAAGAGAGTACTCCTTCCCCACCACCCCTCCCTCTCCTTACTTTAGTTTCTGTTTCCCTGCAGGCAAGCCCAGCTTAACCTTCGAAACTTGAAACATTTCAAAAATTTCGAAACATTTCAACTTGCCTCATTTTGTTTCGAGGCTGTTTCAAAGCTCTCTGTTTCGTTTTAATTTCGCTGTTTCAAGCTCGAAATGAGTTGAAACAGCACCAAAATGAAATTACTGGCAAAATTTCGCACAGTCCTAATAAGAAACCAAAAGTCAAAACATTTCAATTACTGATTAAATTTACACAGCTTACAAGTACCCCCACCCCAACCTTGCAGAAAACAGAGACCCTCAACTCAGCAAAGCATTTAAGCTTTCCGGAGTGAAGTTTAAGGCTCCAACATGCTTTACTGAGCAAGGAAAGACTGCTGAATTTTAACTTAATAAGCAGCAAGAATTTATGGATTCATCCCTTTGCTTACATGACATAATTTGTCTGGGAAACTTTTATGGGAAAAGAAGACAAATAAATTACAGGGATACATCCAATTATGTATACAGGTATGTCACAGGGCACTGAGGTGCCCTGCTCCTGAAGAGGGGAAGCTGCCGGGGAAAGAGCCCTAGCAGGGAATAAGGAGCCCAGCTGTGGGTTGCCAGGGCAACCAGGAGGTCAGCTGACCAAAAGGGGCAGGGCCTGGCTCCCTTATAAACCCAAGGAGCTGAGGCCAGAGGCAGTTCCCTGCCAGCAGCCATCAAGGAAGGAGCTCTCTGCTGCAGAAGAGAGGAGAAGCCTGCTGAAGGAGCAGCACATGATATGGCTGTGGGATGAAGAACCCGGGTAGGCAAAGCGTGATTATAGCCGGGCGGCTTATGTTTAAACTATAGCCAAGAGGCTCGAGTTTGTGTTGCTGTTTATCACCGGTGGTTTGGCTGAGGCTATTAGGGGTTGGAGGAGGCCTCATAGGGGACTCACAGCAGTGTGAGGACCCAAGCGCCAGTGAGGGCGCAGCATGCGGGGTGCACAGACCCCAGCCCCAGAGAGGGGTAGTTGAAAAGCCCCAGAGAAGGGGGCGTTGCTGAGAAGCCCCAGTGCAGGCATGGTGAGCCCCCGAGAGGGGGCGGCTTTACTCAGAAGAGCCCCGAGAGGGGGCGCGGGAAGAGAGAGAGACAGGGCTGTTCAGACCCTGAGTGCCAGAGAGGGAGTGGAGACAGAGAGACCGAACAACGTCTATTCCAACTGCGAGGCTTGGGGTGTGGTAAAAGGGGTGTTTGGAGCCACGCATAGCCCATAAGGCTAGGGTGCCCCAAAGCACCTGTTTGTAGGACAAGACCCACGAGGGGTCCAGGAGTCCATGGGGCCACAGGTTACAGCAGACCGCGTCCAAGAAGACATAAGGCAGCTTCCCTAATATATATTGGAACGTCAAAGATGCGGCGGGCAAGAATCTGAGGGTGCCCTTGGGCCAACTTGGCATGGGAAGGGGGCCTTGAGGAGATCACGGCTCTCCTGTAGGACCCCACCGTGACAAGATAAAACAACAGATAAGATTTCAGTACTTCCAGCTCTCATGATTTTACTGGGCATCGTACCATATTTAATGATTCTTTAAACCCCAACTACTGGAATCAAGTAGTTAGGGCAAGATCTCAACTTCCACTAAAAACAGGAAATTCTGAACTCTTTCAGTCCTAAAGAGAAAAAACTGAAAACAAACAGTACATCCTAAATGCAGGAGGAAAATAAAGTCAACCCAGAATAGAGTATTATATTTTCTTACTGCATGATTTTAAGTCCATCTTAATGATTTCTGAGGTCTGATTCATTTTTAGACACCTGGCAATAGCAACACTGGCATTAATATTGTTTGTGAATGATACTCGCTCTACAATCAAGCCTCTAGTATTTCAGCCTGGAGGTATGATGACCAAACTAATCACCCAAAGCCAAAATCCACATCAATCACCTCTTGGCATGCTCCCAGCAGAACATTTCTCAAGTGCACTCTACTTATCCATTTCTGCTCTGCACAAGTCAATCTAGAAAAGGACCTGGGAAAGGCACCCGGATGGCTCTATTGCTGGTGTTCTCAAGGAAGGGGAGGGTGGGGGTCAGAGGGGCAAGATCCTACAGAAAGCTGCTTTGGAAAGTGCCACAAAACAGCATCTAATAAAGTGAGTTTCAGCTCACAAAAGTTTGTGCTATGTATACTTTAATTAGTCTACAAGGTGCAAATCTACCCTGCCTTCTAAGTACCACAGAAGCCATATATACATACCCTTAATCTGCAATATATGGAACCTGCTGATGACATGGCTACAGGACCCTTAAACTGGTGAGCAACATTAAGAACACCCCCCTTTGCACCTCTGAATTCAAAATCCTCTCTCAGAATCTCTAAATGACCTTTGCTGGTGCTTTTCTTGCCGTGTGAGGCAAAAAAGTTTAAATCCCACAGCTTAAGATGCAAGAGATAAACTTCATGAAAAGTTTAGAAGCTAAAGTATAAGTGAGCAAATTACCAAAAAATGTCAGTACCAGACAGTAAAGGATGAACAACAAACAATAAAAATGATATGAATATTTGACTAAACATAATCTAGCTAAGCTAATCGGCACTTGAGAGAATCATCAACTGAAGCTGAATATCAATGGTACTTTGTCAGAAACTATCAGACTACTGATTGGCAGACAAAGAAATAGATAAGAGCAGACTTTCCAGTAACTTAAAGCAGGGGTGTCAAACATAGACTGTAGGTCTTAGACCAGGGGTGGGCAAAATGTGGCCTGCGGGCCAGATGTGGCCCACCAGGCCATTCTCTCTGGCCCGCAGGGCCCCTAAAAAATTTAGAAAATTAATATTTATCTGCCCCTGGCTGCCTGTCATGAGGTCCTCAATGGCTTGCCAAATGCAGTAAGCAGCCCTCCACCCGAAATAATTGCCCCTGTCTTAGACCAACCAAGGAGCCAGTCTGGCACATGACTGGACCTGGAGCTGTGAGGATCAGCATGGGGTGCACACTGCATGCAGCTCTCCACCACCATACTTACCATGCACACCGGCTTCAGGGCTAGTCTGGATTGGGCTACGCTGAAGCCAGGGTACAGGGAAGATCCAGTACAGCATGCACCCCATGCTGCCCCACTGGTGTCACATGCTGCACTCATAGTGCCAGGTCCAGCCTATGCACCATATGCAGCACGTATCAGCCCCTCTCTGGGGTTTGCACTGCAAGTGCCACAAGGGCTGCTCCATGTCACATATAGCACCAACAGTGCCAGATCCAGCCTATGAACCACGCCAGCCCCCTCTGAGGTTTGCGCTACAAGTGGTGTGCAAGCTGCAACTCTGTGCTGTAGTATGGCACACTGCCTACTGGCCCTGAGTGCTGGCTCTGGCATGTACAGATGGCCTGGGGTTCAATTTGGACCGCCCCAGAGCCAGCACAAAAGACCGGGTTCAGTGGGGCATTGCATGCAACGTGTAGCCCTTGCTGACTCCCTGCACTGAAGGCAGCACCCATGAGGCCAGGTCCAGCCCTCACAATGACTGCAGTGCAAGCCCCAAAGTGGAGCCATCCAGGAACATACTACATGCAGCACCCCAATGAACTGACCCTGCATGCTGATTTGGGGATGACGTGATCCAGCCCGCAGACCTGCCCAGGGGCCCTCACCTGGCCCACAGTACCAGATGAGTTTGACACCACTGACTTAAAGAAATGAGAAGCAATTCCATAAGTAGAGTGAGAAAACATTTTAATAATATAACATTAATTTAAGAAACATCAGGTAAAGTAATGAAATCAAATACATTATCATGCTTGATTTGATGTCAACAATGCTAAAAATTCATTTCTAAATTAAAGTTTTCTGTTGCACTAGGTTTAACTTTGCACTCTGTAACTTAGATTTTTATGATCTTATTGTTATATTATAAAGATATTATAAAGATGATATCTACTGATGACTTTTTTTTTTTTTTTTTTTTTTTGGCAAAGCACATTTACAGTACTGAATAGAAGAATCACTCACCTGATGAGCATCCAGATCTATAATTGTGGCCTTAGAAACTCCTTCTACTCTTTCAAATAAAAACTGGAATTATAGGTTCCATGGAAAAAAAAGAGTTATGAAATTGAATAAGAGATCAAATTAGAAGCTTGATATTCACATCATATATTTCAGTTTTGAGCTGAACACAAAGTGGGTGTGCGTACATGCACACACACACAACCACACCCACTTTTCACAGTCTAGCTCAGTGGCCCCAGATGCCTGGGTTCCCTGAGGAGTCAGAAATATGCCACAGGAGCAGCAGCGCAGGATTTTTTGTCCCAAGTTTCCAAAGTAGGTAAGACATCCTCAGCATCCCCTCCTTCCATTCTATGCTCAGTGCCACATCCCCTTCCTTCCTATTCCTCCCTCCTTCTCTCTACTTATGCCTCTGAGGAAGGGGAGACGCACTTGCCACTGATACTATCCATGGCTGATGTGGGGACCAGAGAGGCCCCAGAGCTGCTCCTGCCCCACTCCAGCTGGGGCTGCAGGGATCAGCTGCATAGCAAGCTGGACTCATCCAGAGACAATGGCAGCAAAGGGAGTGGCCCAGGGGCAGGCAAACCCATCCACTGCAGCCACTGTCCCTGGCTGAATCCAGCTCCCTACACAGTCACTCCCTGCAGCACAGCTGAAGCACTGGCAGCAGGCAGGTTTCCTCTTCCTGCACCCAGAGATGTGAGTAGAGAGAGCCAGGAAGGGAATGAGAGAGGAGGGGACATACTACTGAGCTAGAATAATAGAAGAGGGAAGGGGAGATTCTTACTGCTTTCAGGGACTTAAAAGAAGTTCTTAGCTGCTTCTCCTGCAGCATGGTCCCCCCATTGGAGGTGGGGGGAAGGGAGAGGGCAGGAGGCAAGGCTACAAGTGAGGGAGTGCGTCCACCAAAGGTGCAGGTCACTGCTCTTGCACCTCACTTTTCAAAATCCTAGATCCCTCTAAGCATACATACACACACATACATATATATATGTAACAAATTAACAGCTAGGTCATTCTGAAACTTCATTATAGAAAGTTTATATCTGGAAGAGATATGGAATTATAGACTATTTTCTGAGGTTATAAAACTATCTTTTTGAGAAGCTTATGGACCAGATATACAAGAATACACAAGTCATAGCTTACGTATGACCCTATTTTATAGGCTGCTTTTCAGAGTTAGGTCTTGTAACTAAAAAAACAAAACAAAACAAAAAAAAACTTATTCATAAACCAGCACTGAAATGTATTTAATTGCTCTTCCACATGGCTGAGAAAGTATATTAAAGATATTCAAAAATGTTTTGAGGCACAACCATAACAAGTCTTAATTGTTAACACATGAATGGCAGACACATCTTCTGTACTTGGGTAAAATATGGTAGAATTTTGGCCTCCCAATTTGCGCTGTAATGAGTGGGAGACTAACTTCAGATTAATCTTTGAGATGCGTAGGCTAGCATACACAAAACCAGTTATTTCTGATATTATTTTATCTCATGACTTGTTATGCAAATGTACTCCTGTGAAATTTTAAGTATTTGTTACAAGAGGTTCTTCCTTCAACTTAAGTATACTTGCTTGTTTGCAGAAAATACAATACTAAATATGGTCAAGCATTCCAGAATTTTCCCCTTCCCTGTCAGAGGTTATTTTAGAGGCATCCATACTTTTTGCATGAAACTTTATAAGCCAGATACCGTGACTGGACCTGGGAGGGAGGATGCCTTTCTTTGACTGCCGTCTTTGTTGCAAACAAGGGATACTGTGGGTCCAATTGCAAGATAAGGACAGCTCCCACTGAGGATTTTCAGAGATTATTAATCTATGGTAACTGGAAAGTATTTTACAGAGAGAAAATTGTGACAAAATTTTATTTATTTTCAAGACATCTGAACTTGAAGCGCTTCACCGCATATCTAGCACCACTTCAATGGTAATCAATAGGGCTGTGTGAAGCTTTGGTAGCCAATTCAATTTGGAAGAGATTCAGCCTGATTTGGTGGCCAAATCTCTGAATCTGAATCAAAACTGGAGATCAATTTCAAAGATCCAAATTGAATTGGAAGCCTCCGAATCAATTCGGAAAATATTTGGCACCGCTACAGAGATTCAGCCATAGACTAAACAGACAGCAGTTCTCACCACGCTGGACAGAGCTGCGTCCAGATGGTAAGTTGGTTGTGGTGGGCGGAAGGAGGATGGAAGGGGTGTGGGGAAGGGAGGGACTGAGGCTGGGACAAGCTGCTCAGCTGGGGCAGGGGGGTGCGGGACTCGAGGGAGGGGTAGAGGGGGGTCACAGGATGCAGGCATGGCAGTGCTTGGAGTGGGAGCTATGCCTTGCTGCCGCTTGCCCCCTTCCGCCTGGACTCCTCCCGGGGTGTGCGGGCCCCGGGATCTGTGTGCAGGATGACAGCAGTATGCTGCTGCTGGCAAGCGATATTAGTTGTGTATTGAACAGTTTGAGGTGCAATTTCACAAAAACCCCTGCACCTATCTCCTTGAAACTTGGCAGGCTTCACAACCTCAAAAGGGGCTACCACCCCTGCAATTTCATCCAATTTCATCCAAGAAATAACAAAGTTATAGGCATTTTTATGATTCCCTGTTATAGCCTATGGGCAAAATATCAAAACACATTGAAACAGCGTCAAAACAGCGAAACAGTTCCAACAAAACAGAGCAGTGCTTCGAAACAGCGAAAGGAAACACTGTCCTTTTGAAATGGCAAAACGGAAGTCAAAATGAAACGATGCTGTCTCGCACAGCCCTACCCCATGCCCCTTCCCTCCCCGCTCCACCCACCGCAACAGACTTACCAGCTGGAGGCAGCTATGTCCAGAGCAGTGAAGACTGCTGCCTCTTTAGTCTATGGCTGAATCTCTGAAGCGGCGCTGAATCTTCACATCCGATTCAGCCAAATTGAAGCAGGACAGTGATTCGAATCTCTGAATCGAATCGCTGTCCCTCCGAATCAGCCGAATCCGAAGCGAATACTTGCCGCTTCGCACAGGCCTAGTAATCAATGCATACATTATATGCTGTAACATCAGACACTAAACAACATTCAGATCAATCCCCTTCTAAATATTGGGTGTTTTTGTTCCTATCAATTAGGATATAAATGAAATTACAGTTTTGATTACTCTAAAATAATATTTTTTCATTTACACAAAAAGTAGAGAATTTTTTTTTTACATTTTCTTACCTTAATAGCCAGTGTGATATCAGCATATGCACAAAATCCTCCACCTTTATCACTTGAACAGTGGTGAAAGCCACCCCCTAAATATAAGGGGGAAAAAATTACAGAGTAAAAAGCTAGATACTGTGGAGTACAAAATGATCACTGAAAATACAAGGTCAGTGAGTAAGCTGAGGTCTTTCTTTAATTGAACAAAGAATCTAAAATTTCCAGCCTAGTGTGGTGCCTACTGGTCATAATGTTTGGCTTATTAGGTCCCAAGATAAAGGAGCTGTACATGCTGAACTTAAATTCTTGCAACTGTACAAAGAATTTGACACACATGACACGGATGTATAAATGCAAGGTAGAGATCTAATAGGGCAGCTGTGGCATGAGGCAAGCAGGCTGTCATGCTGCTGGGGATGTGAAAGGTTAAATGATTAATTGTTTAACCAATAAGTGCAGCAATAACCAGTTAGCATACTGGTTATCCTTTAGCTCGGGGCCTGTGCAGTCTGGCAGGGCTTGCCTCCTCCCCCTGTGTCCAGTCAAAGGGCCAAGTCGAAGTGTTATAGGTTAATCATTTAACTGATATAATAAGAGGAAGTTAAATAAATGCTGTTAAAGTATTTACATCCCTAAATGCTGCTGTCAGTTATTTTTGCACCCCCATCCCAAAAGGCATTGTCCAGGGCTGCTACCACAGTCATGCTACTAATTCAGGGTGTCTCTGTGCTTTACCAACTCCTAGTTATGTCTGCAGGGCCTGGGGTGGTGTGGGCACTAAGGCCCACCATTGACAGCCCAAATATTGCAAGTTTGAGGCCATAGCAGAAGTGTTAATGGTGTGGCTGTGTCCAATTCCAATTAATCTGCAAATTCCGCTAAATACCTTGTCATAAAAACACAAAAAAGAAACGAAGTTGTGTCTGCAGGTTTAGAGTAAAACATAAGGCCGAGTCTTTCCCACTTTGAGGAAGATGAACAACAATTATGAGGGTGTTTCAGAAACAAATGGCAATTTCAAAATAAAATAATTCTGTGTGCAACGATCATTTCCTGAACAACATCACTGCTCTACATAGTCATATATAAGAAGGCAGGCCAGAGTAATTCCATAGCAATACTTAATGATATAAAAAGGAAGCGACTAAGAGGTGCAGGCATCTGTTTTATTATTTGTGGGTTTCGTTTGTTATTTATACTGAGTATTTACTTTTGGGGTGGGATGAGCAAGCAAATAATAGGAAAAATACTGAAAGAGACAGATGTATTACCATACATTTTATATAGCAAATCTGTTTTTGTTAAATGTCTTTACAGATAAAAATTTGCACAGAATTTTTCTTTTTAAGCACGACAGGTTGCACAGATGCTCATTACGTGGGAATTACTATCTTTAGAAATGGTACAAGACTATACAGAGATAGTGGTTAGAAACTTCAGCACTGGTGGCTTCCATGAAGTCCACTAAACAACCTTAATATGATACACAGTTCTGCTTTTATAAATACTACCCCTTTTTGCTCTGTTATAGAAAAAGAACCATATTGATTTTAATTATACCCTTACAATTTATTCAATTCAATTAAAACAAGCAAAATAATCAGTCATTCAACTGGCCTGCTGGAAAATATTCACCAAACAATTAAATATATATGTAACATCAACACTATTATTTCTCTCAATTGTCACTGAAGCACAATAGGTTTTGAAGTTTTGTACGGACGGCATTTCATTTCTTGATTGAGGAAATGGCTATTCTTGATTCCCATGTAATACATCTTTTTCTGAAGGACCCTATTTTTTTTTAATACTGTGGCAGAATTGTTGCTATTGCTGCACATATATTTAGCAGAATAGTGCAATTAGGTGTCACTGTTATTTATTTACTTCATGAAGAGATTTGCATGCAAATGTACTGCTGATAATTGATGTTAGGAATGTAATATATGTGCCCATAAGCCTCTTCTTTCATTTCTCAAATCATTTGCTTTTATTACTTCACATTTTATGTTTACTGCATTAAATATTTCAGTTTTGTAACAAGATAAACTGACAAAACAAAACAGAACACAATCTTGCAGTTCAATTACATGCAACATCACTGGTTTTTTGGGATGCTAAAAGGAAACTGTAATGCAGCAAGTCACATAGGTAGAAACTTTAAATCATAGTAGGGTCAGAAATACTGTCTCAAGTGACAATAATTGGATGGGTTGAAACATGAATCTTCATGTGTGAGTGAAAGGCGTTTCTCTATGTCCCACTAAGATAAAAGCTGTCTTCTCTGGACAATGGGATGGGGGAATCACATTAAGGTTAGAAGTAGAAAACCTTACCTTGCTTCCTAAGTACAGTAATTTAAAAATATTTATTTTTTCCTTTATCCAAAGCATTAGCTACTAGCTACAATTGGATACAGGATACCATAATAGACTGGATTATTGTCAGTTGTGCTACATTTACTTCTGTTTCTCCAATATTTAACTGATGTTTTCAATTAGTCGCAGTCAGAAAAAGGTGAAAAGACTTTGTTTTTCATAGGTTTCATACAGTACAGCTACACCACATAACAGTTAGGCCGGTATAGATACACATTAGGGCTGTGCGATATTTCAACTGGTGTTTCGTTTTGAAGCTGTTTCGATGCATTCGAGCTCAAAACAGCAAAATCGAAACAAACCAAAAGGCTTCAAAACAGCTTTCAAACAAAATGAGGGCACTCAAAACGTTTCAAAGCATTTTGAGTTTTGAAGCCAGGCTTGCTGCAGCTAAACAGAAACTAAGGAGAGGGAGGGGGAAGCTTCCCCCAGCTCTCTGATCATTTTCCCAGGTGGCACAGGCCCCTGGATCTGTGTGCTGGGTTTCAGCAGGCTGCTGCTGCAGTTTCAGCGGCAGCCTGCTGAAACCCCACACACAAAACAGGGGCCTGCAGCCCCGGGGAAGAGCTGGGGAAATGATCAGAGACTCCCTATGCCTGAAGAAGGGTGACTGCACTGGAAAGCTTGTTAAGAACTTTTTTCCAGCTACTCAGTTGGTCTAATAAAAGATATCACACCTACCCAAAGAACCTTGCCTGCCTTCTTCTTCAAGGATTCTTTGTCCTTAAGAGGAATCTACCTTCTCAGGTAGCATTTTATCTGAGTAGTTCAAACAATGTTAAATCCTCCCAGAATGTTCCTCCTTCATCCTTATATTTTTTTAGAGATATAAATGTATACAACTACAAACCAGTCCATTGGAAAATTTCCACTGAACACATTGATTATCTCAAGATATTTTTTTTTAAATCACAATTACTCTTATCAGCAAGCTAGAGTGACATACACCTATGTGCAGAGAGTCCGTATTTATTATAGTCCCCATCAATGTAGTTTCTGAATATTATACAACTTTTAATAGATTTATTTCCCAATAAAACTCAAGTGAGATGGGGAAGTACCATCATCTATATTTCCCAGAGAACTGAGGCGTAAAGGAATTGCCCAAATCCTCAAAGGTGCTTAGATTTCAATGGCCTTCAATTACATAGTAGTGTCAGAGAGTTGTTTTTGTTGGTGATGTCTTTTATTGGACTAACTGTACAGAGGAGAGAGTTTTGGGGCAAGTATGAGAGAGTACCCCAATCACCGAACCACACTTCTCCAAAACAGAAACATAATAGGTTTGCAGACTTTAGGTTGTATGCATGGGTAGAGATCTAGGATAAAAGAGACCATGTGGCACACAATCATATCTAACACAACACACATTTTTCTCCAGTTACACAGAGACTACAAGCTTTACTAATACACTAAGAGCTTAGTGCTATACTATTCAGTTTAAGAACAAAGAAAAAACAAATAGAACTTTACTGGAATGTGCACTAAATGGTAGATTATATATTATGTTTAAAAACACAACTAACTAGAGAAAACACGGTCAAAAATATTTTTTCATTAGTCCTATAGTCCTTACAACTAAATGTACATCTCTTATTTATATCCATAAAACAATATTTAGTCTTCTTGAGTGTCTTGACAGAGCAGCCCACTATGGGTTGTGTGAAATGGGCCATATTTGATTCGGATTTGGCCCGAATTGGGGACAGTGATTCAATTCGTTGATTTGGGTCACTGTCCCGATTCAATTCAGCCGAATCTGAAGATTCAATGCTGATTCGGAGAATCAGCAATTCGGCCATAGACACAGCTTTAAATGTTTTTTCTACATACCTCGAGGTACCAGGCGTGGCTCATGAACGCTGCAATGCTGGGGTGGATGGAGCGTCCCACTTCTGGCTCTGCTGCCAAGCACGCAGGGGACACCCCTCCCACCACGGCTTAGTGACTGGCCACGGGGGAACCCTAGGTGCTCCCCCAGACCCAGGAGGCACCAGTCGCCGAGTCGGGGGGTGGAAGGGATCCACCGCGCACTCCCCGGCAGATCTAGAAGTGGTTTTGGTTCACTTCCGGGTCCACTGCCAAGCATGCTGGGGATCCCCCCACACTCCCATGGGATGCTCCATCCACCCCAGCATCAGAGTATTCACGAGCCGCCTGGTACCTTGAGTATGTAGAAAAAACATTTAAAGCTGTGTCTATGTCCGAACCATCAAATCTTTCCAAATCAATTCGGAAGGTTCTGATTCAAATCGGAGAACTTAAAGGGTCCTCTGATTCGATTCAGATTCGGAGACTCAGTTGCCAAATTGGGTCGAAACTGCACAAAATCAAGTCAGCAACCGAAGCTTCGCACAGCCCTACAGCCCACACTTTACTGTCACTCATTTCCACACCTGAGTTAATATTACCACACATAAATTAAAGTTTTTAGCTAGAGCTAAAAACAGTCTGCAGCACTGTGAAATGGGAGAGAGACATTACCAGGAATGGCTAACAGACAGTAAAATTACTGAAAAAAGGATAATTTCAATAGTGGAACATCAACCATTAAAAGGAAGAAAGAGATGGTCATTAACACCTGTGGAGTGGACAAAAATAAGATTAGCAAGAATGAAGTAGATTTTAATGAGCCATGAAGTCAACTGACGCCCTCAGTGCTGCATGAATAGAAATGACCCTGCCCCTCCTCAGCATTTGTTTTTAAAGTTTGGGTACAGCAGTAATCACAGGAGGATGCAACTGCACATTGCTCCCCTCTGGATCTGCCCCTGGCTGCCTGTCACCCTAGGTCAGGAGTTGTCAACCAGGGATATGCCTACCCCCAGGAATACTTAAAAAGGTTGTATGGGGTACACATGGGCAGGTGGCCAAGCAGGTGGGGACAGAGCATGCCCCGAGGCATGGCAGCAGCATCTCCCCCGGTGTGTACACCTCTTACCCAGGATGAAGGGAAGGGACACATCGGGCACTGCCAGCCCCACACAGCACACTGTGTGCTTGGAGCCAGCCTCCCTGCCCCCCACCCCAGCTCGCTCTCCTGACTGGCTGCTACCCACTTACAGCAGGGCTGCAACAGTCTGAATGGTGGGGGGGGCAGAGAGGGGAAGTGTGTTTTGTGCCCACCCCCATGGTGCACAATTTGCCAGGCGTCAAGCCTGTCAGCAGCCTGCAGAGCCACGACTGGGCATGAGAAAGTGGCGTGGCACACAGCCAAGTAGGGTAGCAGCAACCATCGCATGTGAGCCCCCACCCCGTTCAGCCCCCCCAGCACCACCACCACCACCACCACCACCCACTCCCCCAGGAGGGCCTGGGGGCGCATGCCCCCGGATCAATACACAGGGCAGGGCAGGGCAGTCTGTGGGCTGCTACAGGCTGGGGCCGGGCTGAGGTGGGAGGGGGTTGGGGGAGCTATGGCAAATTCTGGGGTGGCTGCAGCCCTCACCATAGCCCCACTCCTCGAGCACAGCCTGGCCCAGCCCTGGCCAGAAGAGCCCAATGCAGCCCCGGCCCCAGGCCACAGCTATAGCCCGCTCCACCCCCTGTATAGATCCAGGGGGAACACAACCCGCATGCCCTCCTGGCGGTGTGCACAGTGGTGGGCATGCGCAGCTGCGACCTGCTTTGGCTATGCAGCACCTGCCCCGGCTGTGCAGCACCTGCCCCAGCCCCAGCCCCACTCCCTCCCTCACTTTCTTTGCGACTGGGCTTGGTGGGCACAGATCGAGACTCCCACAGTGCACGAGGGAGTGGGACTGCAGTAGGGGCAAATCATTCATCTCTGCCCTACTCCGTCCTGCATTGTGGGGGTCTCAAGCCCCAGCCCCACTCCCTCCCTCACCGCTGTGGGAGGGGACAGATTGAGGCCCCCACAATGAGGGAGGGAGCGGGGTAGGAGCAGGGCTGGGATGAGTAGGGGTTGAAAACCCCTTCCCTAGGTGGTTGTTTAAGAAGCAACTGTCAAGGTTCTGTTTCACCAAATATGTGATAATGACATTAAACCAGGGGTGGGCAATTATTTCAGGCAGAGGACCACTTACTGAGTTTTGGCAAGCCATCAAGGGCTGCATGACAGGCAGCCAGGGGCAGATAAATATTAATTTTCTAAATTTTTTAGGGGCCCCGCGGGCCAGGTAGAATTTAGTTTTATGATATAAATATTGATATTTACAATTGCCATACTGATTACTGCTGCTTTGTAGTTAGTAATGAAACAACAATTAGTATTTTGTTCCTTCAAATGAGTCCCCTATCCTTTATTCTCTTTTCCTAGAAGAACATGACTATATTTTTCATTTAATCACAAAGCAACAATTTGAATTATAAGGGATGAGGAAAAATAAATCCAGCACTCTATTTTTTTCTGTAAATAATTTCAGATCCTTATATTTATCCTCTACTCGTCTGTTCTAAGGCAGCCAAGAGGAAATAACATGATTCTTTAAAAAAGCAAAAAAAAAGAGTTGTTAAAATATCTTTCAGTTAATTACATTTGGACTTACCCACATTGATTGCCCAGCCTCTATCAATGGCAAGTTTTCCTGCCTTTAAGAAAAATACAATAAAGATTTCATGAATGAGTGAACACCACCATTTAGTAATACAGTCTCTTATCCTGTACATTTCTCTCAACATTTCTAAGATACTTATTAATAGAATTTTTCTCACAGTAAGTTATGTTGGATCATACACAGCACTTAAGAAACAAATTTTCAATATAATTGAGATGCATTTAATACTGAATCTGTATTTTCTTCTCTTGCAGTCATGCTCTAAAACATTTCTAGCAGAGATGAACACTGACACCTAGCAGTTGCATTAAAAAGTGCAGAAAACATTCTTGTAACAAAATTATCAAGATAGATCAAGCATTAGCAATAAAGTTGCAAACACAAAAAATGAATAGGACTGAATAGTAATTATACTCATGAATTTTATTCTGCTTTATGCAACAATTCTCAAGAGAATATATTTATAAGCACTAAATACTGGATATGTCTAGATACACTTCAGGTTCCAGGGGTGGGGGACTCAGTGCAGTGATTCGTTTACATTTTTCTTACAAATTAATATTCATAACATTGACTATCCTTAATTCTTTTCACTCTATTTCCTGAAAATGGCGACCACTGCTCTCTTGCAGACTCAAATGGCATTCAAAGTAGAAGCAGCAGAAAATAAGGGAAAGCTCTGCCAGAACAAGGAAAAGCTTATTTTTCAAAGGAAAATGTGAACAATTACCAAAGAGGAGACAGTTAATTGAGCATTTCTCCTGTTCAAGGCAGATATTTCTATTACTACACTATTCTTACAAATGCCTGGAAGGGCTTATTATAATTTTTTTAGCAAAATAAGAGTTTCCTCTATTTTTTTTTTTTTTTTTACTTGTCAAGGTAATCAAACAGCTTAGAGGTAAACTGTTAACATTAACAAGTTCTTTGAGTGCCCCTTTAAATATTGCTTGTTTGAAAGGAAGCAATGTGTGAGAAAAATATTTTTTCCCATTCAGATGCTGCTAATTTAACCATATTAGACCTTGAAGAGAGATTTTTGTATTGAAGTCCAGTACCAAGGAGTCTCAGTAGTACATCACTACCACTTCTCATTTCATTCTAATTTCTGAGTATTGATCATTGTACCAGGTCAGAAAAACATCAAAGTACAAAAGGAACTTTATCAATGCCAGGTACACTATGGCCAACAAAAAAAAGTGTTGGTTTTTTTTTCTGAATCCAAAGAGTGTATGGATTTATTGCTCAGTAAATTGAGATTATGCTGTTAGATGGTAGAAGAGTATTTCTATAGAAAAAAAAACAGTACTCAGGAGAAAGGGGAAATCAAAACCAATCAAAGAATGTTATTCGTATAGAGTTATTTATTTATTTATTTATTTTTACAAGAAACACTTCAATGCTCATGATTATGGCATATACAGACACATAGCAAATAGACCATCCCTACTTCAGAGATACTACAACCTAAGTAAATTTTTTCAAAGACCACATTTGAATAGTGAATTTGTTTGTATAATCACTAAAAGATGACAGCACAGGAAAACCCTTCCAATTGCTGTTTGATGCCTGGCTAGTGAACAACTTGAAATACCCAGGTTACATAAGCAGAACTGTTAAAACCCTAAACCGAACTCTAAGATTCACAGATGCTCTAGACTTCCTCCTGGTATCAGAGATATAGCAAGATATTTCAGTGGCCAGGGCAAGGTGGGAAGGGCAGGAAGGAATTATGCTGACCACTAGAAAACAGGAGTGGGGACATGGCAGGGAAACCTTCCCTGCCTCTGCACTCTGCGCTTGGGTGGCAGAACTGCTACAGCTCACGCCCAAGCATGCTATGACAGTGTGAGCTTGACCACTGTCGCTGAGGGCTGGGCTCACTAAATGCTGGTGCAACAGCTTGGTCAGCATGGACTTCCCAGGACTGCTCCTGGTGCTCCACTTGCTCCCCTTCCCCCCAGATATGTTTCTGGGCTATGGGATATGCTGCTATGATGTTCAGTACCAAAGCTTTGGCCTGGGAGAGGAGTGCATGCCATTCACTTTGCTAATCCCCTCTCCCTCCTGCCCCCAAAGATACCCTAACAGGACATGAGACAGCATCTGCCCAGCTCCATCTGGACAGGCTATACAGAGCTGCCCCTGCTGTGGATTCCTTGAGGGGAAGGGGCCCACACAGATACCTCCATGAAAAAGACTCCTGGAGGGGACCATACCACCCACTATAACTCAGCACTTGGGTCTGGTGCTCCCCTCACCCGCTACTGCCTAGTATCACCTCTGCTAGCTACTCCTTTACCCCTTGGACTTTGTTTTTCCGCACTAAGAGGTGGGAACTGTGTAGTAGGCAATGCACTTCTGCCCACAGCAGTCTCCGTGGGGAGAGCTCACCTAATGGGCTCCAAAAATTAATTCTCTTGTCCTCCTATCATGAAATACTGACTCTTGCGATCTGTATCACACAGCAAAGGGGAGAACAGTGCAAGGCTCACAGGTAGTACTGAAGGACTAATAGAATGTTTAGCAGCAAAGCAAAGCTTTATGAAACCCAGGAGCCTGGGGAATTACTTTTCTCTCTTCCCTCCATCTGTAATGCTATAAAAGCTACAAGTGAAATTATACCCACAATTATTCGTATGCAATTAACAAAATGACATCGATTAGTTACCTGAGAACAGAGCTTGGTCCTACTTATTTATTGCTGCTGAAGGTGGTTATTTTAGATTTCAAAGGGATCTAAAGCAGATAAAGCTAGTGTTCCCCACTCATGCTTTATTCTACTTTTGCCTCTCTAACTTGGGCCACTGGTAATATATTATTTACAGTAATCCTCATCCATAAAGGGACAACTCTTGTGGGAGCTTGAAAATACAGGCAGATTCTATATTGTTTTTCCTTCATGCTCCCAGCAAATTAACCTGTAATACTTTATGTAAATAAGAAGAATATTCCAGCACAGTCTATCTAGTTTTCCCACAAGTCACAACACCCTTACATTGTGCAAATCATCTCAACTATTATGAGGGCAGAAGCCCTTTCACAGATTTTTTTCTTAAATTGCTCTTTATTCTTTTAATAAAAAATTTAGGAAACACTATGATAAGAAAATTAGAGGGCAGGGAGAGAAAAAGAGATACAGGAGAAGGAGAGCAATTAGGAAACAAGGTCAATGAATGACAAGATATTTTTGGATTTCAAGTAGAAAGCTTAACCCCATTTCTAATCAAAACAAAGCACAACAAATTATGGCAGTACATGTTAATCACCGGCTCCAGCACTGTATGTGTAGCCTTGGGAGAAGAACTTCTTTATCTTATTTTACAAACCAGAAGAAAAATAAAGATGGTGAAATTTCAGAATGGGCTGTAATGTCCACTCTTCTACCTCTGTGTTTAAAACCTCCATCTTATGTTCTTTTTTTCAATATGCTGTTTGAGTCTATGCTCTGCTGCTATTGTTTAATTCTCATAAGAAGAGCATGAGTAATTTTTGTCTAAACCTCCATGTGTTAGAAACACTGCTGCATATAGGGTATGGACAAGTATATGTTTTAGCCACTTTAAAAAGAAAAGGGGGAGGAGCTATAGCTCATAAGTGCACATCAGTTATTCTGATCTAAATTAGGGATCTCTGACTTCTAATCAGTTGGGGGCTGCACACCACTGTTACATCATGCCATACAATCACCCCAGCCCCCACCCTCAGCTCCCTAGTCACAGACTCCCCCCACGCCTGCTGCACTGCAGGATCCTTAGGCCCATGGACTGAGCCACTAGGGCTGTACAAAACGGCTATGTTTCATTTTGGTTTTGAATTCGGCCATTCCGGAGGACAGTGATTCGTTTCAGTGTTCCTGATCGCTATTCCATTTCAATTCGGCCAAATCTGTTTCAGAGTTTCGACACCAATTCAGAGATTCAGATAGGCCGGGGAGAGGCAAGCACAGCCAGGCGGCTGCAGGTTCTCCCATGGCTCCTCCGGCTGTGCCTGCCTCTCCCTGGGTGGGTGGGAGGCAAAGGAAAAACCCCCATGGCTGCCCTGCCCAGCCTCACCTCGCCGTCCAGGCCTAGCTTCCCAGCACTTAAAAAAAAAAAAAAAAAAAGCCCCGTACTCTCTGATTGGAGCAGCGGTCATTGGGACCTCTGTGGGTTTGTGGCAGAGCCCCCTGTGCAGCGCAGGGCAGTGTGGGGCAGCAGGGATCGCCCCCCCACCACCTGTCACCTGCACAGCAGCTGTTGTATGTCATTTATTTAATACTTATATAATACTTAATATTTTCAAGGCACGGTATAGGTCAAATAGGGGTGTGTGAAACGGGCCGTATTCAATTCAGATTTGGCCCAAATCAGGGTACAATGATTCAATTTGTTGATTTGGATCACTGTCCCGATTCAATTCGTCCAAATCCGAATCTGAAGACTCGATGCTGATTCAGAGAATCAGCGATTTGGTCACAGACACAGCTTTAAATGTTTTTTCTACATACCTCGATGTATCAGGCACGGCTCCTCAACGCTGAGATGGTGGGGAGGATGGAGCGTCCCACAGCAGCACAGGGCCCACCACACCTCCCCACTCCCCCATTTGCTTGGCAGCGGACCCGGAAGTGGACCAGAAGTGCTTCTGGTCCACTGCCGAGCACACTGGGGGCCCCTCCGCGCTGCCATCATTCGCCCCACCATCTCAACATTCACAAGCCACCTGGTATCTTGAGGTATGCAGAAAAAACATATAAAGCTGCATCTATGTCCGAATCGTCAAATCTCTCCAAGTCGATGCAGAAGGTTCCAATTCGATTCGGAGATTGAAAGGGTCTCCTGATTCAATTCAGATTTGGAGATTCGGCCGCCAAATCAGGCCAAATCTCAGCCAAATCGAATCAGCGACCGAAGCTTCACACAGCCCTTAATATTTAATTAGGCCCTGTAGCTAATGTGACATTTTAAATGTTGGGTCACAAACTCATCTTGTGAAGTACCATACAAATATAGTAACACAGTCTCTGTCCTGAAAAGCCTAAAAATGTACTGC